GAAGCTTTGCATTCACAATACTTCATCCATTCCACCAATGCACCTACACTGTAGAATGTCACCCTACAATGCTATTGTGTGGGTAATGTGTGTGTGTGTGTGCGCATGTGTTGCTATGTGTGTGTATGTGTGGGTGAGCGAGGGTGATCTGTAGTGTGTGCGCGTTATGTGTGTGTGGGTTGTTGTGTTTGTGTGGGTGTGTGGGTGTGTGGGTGTGTGTGCGTGTGCGTGAGGTGAAGGAAGAGAGGTATGGTAAAGAGAGAGAGAAAGAGAGAGAGATACCTGGATTGTGTCGCCTGCAATGGGTTGAACCATGGCAGAAAAAAAGTAAAAGGTGAGAGATAGAAGAGAGTTGAACGGTAGAAAGAGAGAGATGGTGGTAACGGTTGTATTATCGTCTGAGTTAGGGTCTTCTGAGAGAGAGAGAGAGACTGGCTAGGGTTGGGTAACGTGTAAGTGGGTTTAATATTTGGGCGGGATTTGGCATTTGTATCAGATGTATTTTGAGCCTTTGAATTAGTTTGGGAGAATTGAGATGAAATTTGGGACTTTGAATTAAAATTGGATTGAATCTGAACCGTTCTTGTGTTTTTTTCAAATGAATTAAATTTGCCTTGAAATTTGAAGTGAAAGTAGATTCAAAATTGGTTCTATCTTATTATATAGATTTAAGTTAAAATTGAAATAAAATATGATATTATGAACTCTTTTGACAATAACAACAGACACAATCTCTTTGAGTTATTAAGAACACATGTTATGTATTTTTTTGTAAGTATGTCTAATAGTTTCTTTATTTTTTTTTATTTTCTATTTTGACTTTCAGTGGATCACGTATATCTTTTCAAAACTTTTCTCGTACTTTAATTTCTCTCTCCTTTCTCCTCTCTCCTTTCTCCTCTTTTAATTTATCCGTCTAACTATTTTCACCTAGGGCACCCCAATTAATATGGGCGCCTAGGCAAAAATATTTAGAGGGGTAAGTGCTATGAAATATAATAATATAGATATGATAAAATAAATTTTAAAATATTAATATATGTTCATTTAACAATTATTTTTCTTGTATTTGAGATGTAAAAATACTAGTTTAGCATTCAAGTTTTAATTATAAAAAAAAATCATTAATTGAACTTGAATTTGGAGACTAAAATACAATTAAATCAATCAATTAAAAATATAGAGAAAGAAAATTAAAATTTATAAATACAACTAAAATATTTTTCAAAAAATGAATGTCAGTAAAAATTTTAAATTATAAACTACTCAAACTCAATATATTTTTGTCATTCTGTGTGTGTTTCTTGTGTATTTAAAAATCATAATTGAGCTAAAAACTAATCCAGATTAAAAAAAAGTCTTGAATTTAAGTTAATAATAATTTATAAAAATTAAGTGATAAATAATTAATCAGTCAATTCACTTTAATTAATAAATTAAAAGTATTGCACAAGGAGATAACTCATTTTTTCAATATTTACATTAACATAAGTAAGATTTAAAAAATAAAGATAATATAAGAATAATCATTCGATAGTGTCATGTCAAAATTTATTTAATATATGCTCGTTTGACTTATAATCATGTATAATTTAACAAATTTGTATTATATTTAGTTGGGGTCATGCCAACTTTCTAATTTGAGGGACTAAATAATTTTATCAATTTATCGTCCAAATCTACTAAAACTAGACTCAAACTCATTAATGTCACATCAATTTTTTATTTATTCATAAGTTATACCTAAAATTACTAGACTAATTAAAATTGGGGGTCCTAAATTTATTTTAATTGAATTTAAAAAAAAAAATTGGGGAACCCAAAATATTATTATTATTATGCGGCTCTAGGCGGGAGCCTTAGTAGCCTTCACCTAGGGGCAACCCTGATTGTCAGTGGGTAGTGTTTCTATGAGAGTTATCGCTAAAGAGTTGAACAAGAGTAGTGCTATTTGAAATTGATTTGTTGATTTAATCAATTATTGTATTGAATTTACGGTGCCATGCAAGATTAATTGAGAGCTTCCATTCATGCATTTGACAGTACCTGATTAGGTAATCAAATTAAGATACTAATTTAACTTTAAATAGTATTATTGCAACATCAATGATATTGATTTGTGGGTCTGATTTGCCCTGGATATATGAGATTATTTATTTTGTTGAAGCATTAATAGGAAAGGGGTAGTGTCTTTCTCTTTCTCTTTCTCTTTCTCTCTTTCCTCTCCCTTTCTCTTCCCCTAAGATATGTATTACCCATATATGTTTAGAGAGAGAGAATGATAAATCTTTGTCCACTTGTAGTAGTTTGATCTTCCTCGGAGAAAAGAAAACCATTTGGACAGGAGAGAGAGAGGATTACGCCGGACTTGCAAGTGGGATCATCAAGTTGCAACTTCTTTGGACGCAGTCTTAACTTTAAGAGCCTTGTCTTTGCCTAATTTTACGTGATCTGCCATGGAGTTCGTTAGCCTACGCTTGTTTCCACCAGGAATGACGTAATTGGGTTCGATGCTATGGTTAAAGACTGCCGACTCCCCTCACCCAATTGTTTGTATTTGAGGAATCAACTAAAGAAGATTTTGGTGTTTATTGCCACATAAATGTTATGTTGGTCAAATTTTAGAGTCAATGACATGACAGTATATTATTTGGAGTTTTTATTGAAATACAAATGACATGACACCAAATAAAAAAGTCCAAGTCAGCTGTCATCTCATTTAACCTCTTGATTTGATCGCAAAATTTGATTTTGTGAGATTAGTTGTTGGGTTATTAATCACCGTTCCCTTTGTTGAAACTTAAGATTGCATATTGCCAAACTGATTTAACACTCTTTCTTTTCATGACCTACCACTCCTCGTTTAAAAAAAATATTAGGTGTAATGATTACATTATATCAATATTGTTATGTGATATAATTGTTCAATGACAAACTAACAAATAAATAAAATAGACCCCAATATTTTAAATAATCACACTTTCATATATGATAGTAATTGTCACATATTTAAAAAATTAGTTATTTATTATGTTTGAAGGCACATAATAATAATAAAAATGTCAATAATAAACATATTGATATTTACATCCAAAATCAAATTATAAAGATAGAGGACAGAAAAAAAAAGAATTTAAGGACTAATTTGTAGTTAGGGCAAGCGGTGATAGTGAAGGTGAGCGGCAGTGGTGGTGGTGGTGGTGGGAGACGGTGATGGGATAGTGGTAATAGGATAGTTGTGGGGTGGTGGTGGCAATGACGATGGTGGTTATGATTGTTGTAAAAAGTGGTGGTGGTATGGTGATGGTAGCGGTGATGATGGTAGTGGTGGGGCAATAGGAATGGTGATAGTGGTGATGGTGGTGGTGGGAGTGGTGATTGTGGTGGTAGTGTGACAGCAACGGTGATGATGGTAGTGATGGGGCAATAGAAATGGTGGTGGTGGAGCGGCAGGTATGGTAGTGGTGGTGATTGTTAAAGCTAAGGTGATGGTGTGGTGGCGATAGTGGTAGTGGTGGTGGTAATGGTAGAGATGGGGGGGGGTAATGGTGGTGGTGATGGGGGTAATTATAGTGGTGGGACAATTCTAAATGCTATTTTTTTTATCAGAAGGTTGATTATTGAAACTTTGAAAGTTTAGTGGTAATATATGACTCTACTACTCATTTAAATAAAATTATTCATTATTTATTTTTTATCTATTTTAATTCAAAATTATAATTTACAAAAATATTAAGTTATAAACTTTTAAATGAAATTTTATATATATATAAAAAATTTGTCCAATGAATGGCAAGTTGGGCTACAAAATAACCTATCCTTACCCAAAGTTTGACCCGCCCAATAAATCACATGAGTAAAGACTTGGGCTTTTTACCCCCTGTAGATGCAGTCCAAAAAAAATTTAGTGAGCCTAACTCTGTCCAGCCCATGGACACCACCTACATGTATTTGTCCAGTTTTAAGATGGTCAGACTCAAATCGATTAAAATTAGTATATAAGGTCTGGAACTTTCAAGTAGATAAGTTTGGGATTATTCATCTTGCAAAGAAGGATTGCTTTGTTATAAAAATTAGAATTGCTTCCGTTCTAATGTTTTCAATAATGAATTTTTTTTTGAGTCATTGAAGACTTTGTCACTCGATTAAAATTTGACAATCTCTGAGGAGGAGGAGATATACTCAATCATGGGTATGGATTGCTATGATATTAAATGCAGAAGGTATTTATCATCCAACCATATATCCATACATGGTGGACATCTAACTTTAATGGGCTTCATTAATTTGAAAGTCTTTGTGCATACATTTTTTTTTTTTGTATTATGGTAAGGGATGTTCAAATTAATTTACGCATATCTTGATTTCAAGTCAAACTTTTTATTTTTTTTTTACTTAAATTTGGATAAAAATTTAAATTTTCATTGAAGATTGTCTAATTATAACACTACGTCATTATTATCACACAATATTATAATCTAATAAAAAAATTAAAAGTGGACAATGGATCTATTTGAGTTGTCTACAGTAATGAAAAATAAAATTTTAGTAATGTATCGATATATATTATATTTGTGAATATTTTTATCAATGTTGTGGATATTTTTCTTACTATTGTGGTATTGAAAAAAGTAATAAAAATACACAACAATGGTTAAAAACCCAACAAAAGTGGTAATTTTTTTTTTTGTACCAAGAAAAAGTGAAAACAATAGTTATTACAACGGTACTAAAAAACCCCCCACAAAAGTAAAAAATCACACACAAAAATAATAAATTTTGTGATCGTAAAATTACCATAAAAATTATAATAATATTTTTTAAAATAATAAGATTTAAAGGTATATTATCAATTTTACGGTAATTTAACAGCCTGTAAGTTTCCCCACACGCTCCGCATGCCTAGCTAACTCTCCAGTTCTTACAATCACAGCCGTTACTTGTTTTTCCGGTACAACTACTTAATGTAAGAAATCAGGAAACTCCAATCATTCAGTCATGTCTGCCCCTCTCAGAACCATCCCACCGCCGCCACCACTATCACCACCATTACATTGTAAGTTGTAACCGTGACTGAAACCACCATAACCCACAAATGGCTTCATCCCAAGACTCTCAACCATTCCACTGGCACAGTGATTTCGATGACCGGAACTTCCAAATCCGTGGCCGAACAGTCTTCTTCGTCATCGTCCTCTTGTCTCTCATCGTTCTAGTCACACTTTTGATCCTCTACGCCCGTTGGGTCTGCCGCTTCCGCCCTCCCTTCGCCGCCGATTTACATCACGCGCCCCCAGCTCCGCCACAAGGGCTTGACCCAGCCACAATTCATAGCTTGCCAATCATATTGCATCGATCATCGGCAACAACAACAATAACTAGTATCAACGAAGTTGAGTGCTGTATTTGTCTGGGTATATTTCAAGATGGTGACAAAGTAAAGGTTTTGCCCGAGTGCCACCATTCTTATCATTCTCAATGCGTGGATAAATGGCTCAGAACCCAGTCGAATTGTCCACTTTGTCGAGCTTCTCTCCAAGGCCATTCTGCTGTTTGACTCGGTTTTACCCAAATCATTACCTGCAACTTTTTTCTTCAGCTTTTATGAGTTAATTATTTTGTGTAATTACGATTCTCTAAATTATTTCAGCCAATATATATATAGTATGTGCCCTTGTGAGGACTTACAATCTGCTGCTGTGTGCACTGCAATTTTCATATGCCAACATCAATTTGTGCTTGAACTAGGTGTCTCTACCTGTTTGATGAATTTCTTGATTGAATTGTTTGTTTATTCCCCTGGATAATGTATGTAGAACATCGTCCCTGGTCTTTTAGCTATTTGAAAAAGGATAAATATGCCTTTGTTGGCTTTGATTCCTTTGTTGGTTGGCTGGACCAAAGTTCTGATCCCTACAGATAAAGTATGAGAAGTGAGACTATTGATTTGTCCATGTGTTTGTCATCCCGATTCCTTCACGAATCATTAGAAACTAGATAACCCGTAATGGTCCTCCTCAAAGTCCACTTCCTTTAATATGATTCCCCTAGTAGTTTTTGTATTAAAGAAATATCTGACTCTTGGCAATGGTCTTGTGTTGGATCTTTTTTTAATTCATGGCAAAAGAAAAACTAGGAATCCCTTTTTCTTTTTTCAATCTTTCAAAAATGTAATAACTATGATTTGTTGTGGGTAAACTCTTATTGTCTAACTCTGGGGGAAAAAGCACCATGAATCTCAATATAGGGAAGGTGGACAGGGTTGCATGGCGTAATTAGAGAGTTGATATAGTTTTGAGCTTCTACCTGTGAGAAGCATATATTCTTTTTATCTTGGGAGTCAAACTCTGCTTAAATTGCCATTGTCATTAATGGATTGAAGATGGGTATTTCCCTAAATTTAAGGATTCAAAAACCAACACCATACTTATTGTAATTTGATTGACGGGATCCAACAGTGGACGAGCTTGGGCAATTCATGGTCTTCTAATGCACTATTGCAAGCAACTTTTGGCCGATTCCGGATTCCATGTCACTCTAAAGGGTCTTTGTCCTTGGGATTATCTGAAAGTTAACTCTGGTGTAGTTACATTAAATCGCATTGGAAGCTGCAGGCACAGAATCTTATGAAAAATAAGCTAGGCTCATCACTGGTCCGGTTCCATGCCTCTTTTCTCAATCCAAAACAAGTAAGTCATGTAATTAATATAAGCTTGTAAGATGGCATATTCGTTGAAGCTATGCATAGAGTACTTGATTCATCTAAAGTTACACCTTTCATCTGATAATCTGTTTGCCATGCTGTGACATATTTAAGTTGCCGTCATGGTTGATAAAGCTTTGTAGCATCCTTCTCCCATGGTTAAAATTGTTGAACAATCTAAAAAAATACAAAAGATAAGAAAAGAGAAGGCTAGGATTTTATTGATATTGTATAATTCAATTGAATACTAAAAAGTAATTTAACCTAAATACAAAGACACTATATATAAGCTAAATAAGACAGGGAAAATAAAGGACTATTCTACCCTTAATAAACAAAATAACCCTATATTTTTTAACATCTCCCCTCAAACTCACGATGCAGCAGCGACAAGCATCAAGAGTTTGCCAACTAGAAAACGAAAATGGGAAATAGAATACGACTTGGTAAAGAAATCTGCAATCTGCAATCTATAAAGAAGAAGAAACAAAGGGCAAAGTAATGGTGTTATGCTTAAGATGATGACGAGTAAGGTGAAAATTGATCTCAATGTGCTTAGTTCGTTCATGAAAAATCGAGTTGTGAACAATCTGAATAGAACTCCGATTGTCACAATACATAGGAGTGAGATGAGAAAGAGAAACTCTCATATCTACAAGTAACCAATGCAACCAATCTCAATCTCTTTGGTAGTAGATGTCATAGCACGATATTCTGCTTCAGTTGAAGATTAAGAAACAATAGATTGTTTCTTGCTCTTCCAAGAAATAAGAGAATCACTTAAAAAAATACAGAAATCAGTAACAGATTTACGATCTGTGGGATCACTGTCATGATCAGCATCAGAGTATGCACACAGCTCTAAGGAAAAGGTGGATGGAAGTAAAAGACTCTGAAAGACTGTACCCCGAAGATACCTCAAAATACGAAGTACCGCTGCCCAATGAACTATAGTAGGAGAAGTAACAAACTGAATAACAACATGAAGAACATATGCAATATCTGGATGAGTAATAGTGAGATTTACTAAGCTCCCAATAATAGTACGATATAAAGTAGGATCTGACAAAGGTAAACCATCAGAAAAAGAATACTTTGCGTTAACCTCAATGGGAGTATCTACAGTCTTATTATCAGTAAGACTAGCTCGCTCAAAAATATCTGCAACATATTTCGACTGAGAAAGAAGATAACCTCTAAGTGAGCAGGCTACCTCAATACCCAAGAAATATAATAGAGAACCCAAATCTTTCATTTCAAACTGTCTAACTAACTTTGTATTTAAAACTGAAATACCATTAATATTATCACCAGTAATAATTATGTCATCAACATATAAAGACAGAATGATACGACCTGCATCAGTGCACTTAACAAAAAGAGCAGAATCATGACTACTAAAAGTAAACCCAATGGAAGATATCACAGCAGAAAATTTTTCAAACCAAGCACGAGGTGCTTGTTTGAGATCATATAACGCTTTCTTGAGCTTGCAAACATACCCAGAATCATGTAAAACACCAGGAGGGGGAGCCATATAAACTTCTTCTTGAAGATCCCCATTCAAGAAGATATTTTTAACATCAAGTTGAGAGATATGCCACTGACGAATCGAAGCAACTGTAATAAGAGTACGAATAGTAGTCATTTTTGCAACAGGAACAAATGTCTCCTCTTAATCCATACCATACTGTTGAGAGTACCCTTTTGCAACCAACCTAGCTTTGTATTGCTCAACAGATCCATCAGAATTGGTCTTAATCTTATACACCCAACGACAACCAACAACACTCTTACCAGGAGGTAGAGGAACCAAATCTCAAGTACCTGTCTGATGCAAAGCAGAAAGTTCCTCATCCATAGCTTACTGCCAAAGAGGGTCAAGAATTGCCTCTTTATAGGAAGAGGGCTCAGAAAGACAATGAATAGAACCTAAAAAGGAAGTAAAAGATAAAGAATAACAAGAATAAGTAAAATTTGGTAACTTTGTGGACTTACGAATGCGTGTGGATTGACGTAAAGGTGGATCCACAATCTCAGACGAAACTTGAGGGAGCTTAGGAGATGAGGTAGCTTCAGGTGTGCTAGAGAGTAAAGTGTCAGTACCTGTAGAATGATCAGTGCTGGTATTTGAAGTACTAGAAACCTAAGATGACAAACTATCAAAATCCTCAGAAAAAGGATCTATACGAATAAGGTCAGATTTAGTCAAGCTATAAGTAGTGGATGGAATAAAAAAGAAAGGTATATGCTCAAGAAAAACAACATGACAAGACACATAAAGTTTTTGATTTATTGGATCAAAATAACGATACCCCTTTTTACCTTCACTATAACCAAGAAAGACACAAATAACAGATCGAGATAACAGCTTGTTGCGTTCAATATGAGGACGAAGAACGAAACAATTACAACCAAAAACTCTAAATGAAGAATAATCAGGGGCATACCCATACAACTTTTCGAAAGGAGAAACACCTGAAAAATGAGAAGATGAAATTGTATTAATCAAACCTACAGCAGTAAGAATAGCTTCACCCCAAAACTCTCTAGGAACAAAAGAAGACAACAAGAGAGAACGAGCAATTTCAATAATGTGCCTATGTTTTCTTTCAGTAACACCATTTTACTCAGGAGTATCTGTACACAGAGTTTGGTGAATAGTTCCATCTAAGGCAAGCAACTCATCAAATTTATTAGAAGTGTATTTCCTACCCAAATCACACCTAAAACATTTTATAACAGCAAAATGTTGAGTTTTGACGAGAGCTCGAAAGGCTGTATATATCTCAAAAAATTCAGAACGATATTTCATTAAATAAATTCAACAATAACGAGTATGATCATCAATAAAAGAAACATAATATCGAGACCCTCCTTTTGTGGCAATAGGAGAAGGTCCCTATACATCAGAATGAATCAAATCAAATGGAGAAGAAAAAACAGAAATATTTTGATTAAAAGGTAAAGCTGAAAATTTTTTCAGTTTACATCCACTACAATCAGAAATATCACAAGTTTACAAATTTCCTAAAGTCCTTGTGGATGCCAAAAATCTCAAACGAGAAGACGAAACATAACCTAAACGAGAATGTCATAAATAAAAACTAAAAGAAGAAGGACTCAAACGAAGAGAAGATAAATCAACACTAGTAGCAGCAGCAACAACTAACACTTTTAACTCATCCAAAATATATAGGCCCCCCCTTCCTACGGCCTGTTCCAATCAGCTTCTGAGACTGCAGATCCTGCACATAACAAGAAGAAGAGGAAAATGTGACTAAATTTCTAGAATCACATAACTGAGCAACAGAAGCAAGATTTAATGTGAGTTTTGGAATATGATAAACATTAGGGAGAAACAAGTAAGGTGTGACAATAGAACCAACACCTGCTAAAGACATAGGAGTGTCATTAGTAGTCATAACAGGAATAGAAGATGAAGGAGATATAGAAGCAAAAGATGAAGAATCTGGAGACATATGATGTGAAACACCAGAATCCAAGACCCATACAAAATGTGACATACCTGGAGAACTATAAGGCAACTGACCTCCTGAAGAAGAAGCAGACATAGTTTGTGGATGTAAGGAGAGAAACTTCTGAAATTGGTCAGCCAAGGTACTAGAATCGGTGAAAGGACCTGATGAAACTACTGCTGCAGTATTAGACTGTGGTGGTTTGTAACCCTGAGGTGGTCTAGGAGCATTAGATTGTGACTGGTTGCCAAACTTCCAAACTTGAGATTACTGCTGTGATTGATTTTGTTGTCTTAACTTAGGACATTAAGCCTTTCAATGACCTTTCTCCTTATAGAAATTGCACTTGTCGAAGGCAGGTCTTGTGTAAGGCTTATTCTGATTATGAGAGAATGGTTTAGAAGGTACTGCTAGCATAGAAGGATCAAAAGTAGAAAGAATTTCCTTGTTAGAATAAGACTTAAGACGTATCTCTTCAGCCAATAACTCACTGACAACTGAGTAAACAAAAGGAAGTGGAGAATGATGCAAAATTGAACCTCTAAGTCCTTCAAAA